CAAAGGTAAATTAGAAAATTATTTTTTAAATTAATATTGACTTACAATTACGGGGGAGGGGGGGAGGGGGACCTTATGAGTAATTTGAAATTGATTAACAGGCCATCAAAGAAAAATTAGCAACTAAAAGGTTGTACCAACATTGGGCTTGCCTTAAAATTAGTCACATGAAGCCTTACCTCAACCTAAGTCAAACCCAAGATCAAACACATGTCAAGACCACAAGGTCTACAGGGGTCCTTGAGCTTGAGGGTTTACATGATGATAAAATGGTCTATGGAAATGATGATGCACAATGTTGCTCGAACGACATTTCTTTACGAAACAGACTTTGTCATTGTGTTTAGAAAATTGAAAATACCTACAATGAATACCCATATTGATTGGCGATTGCTCTAGCAAAAAGGGGGAAATTTACCTTATTACTAGCCGATAACTACCCTATCCTACAAGTGTTAAACTTAGCCCCTATCCTATCAACTAGCGGCCAAAGAAATAACAAAATAAAATAAACCCACAACTTCCTCCTGCCTCTACTGATATATTCGAAACTCCTCTCCCAACTCACAAAACCAACCAACCTCTCTCTCTCTCTCTCTCTCTCTCTCTCTCTCTCTCTCTCTCTCTCTCTCTCTCTCGTCATTTGTTCCCATTTTTTCTCTCTCTAGGCGGAACTTAGTGAGAGAGACAATGGGAAGACGGAGGTGAACAAAGGTCACCTCCTTGCCCGAGCGGGGGCGGTGGTGATGGAAATGCTGGCGGTGATGATCGGAGACGTTCGAGCGGTGTTGCGGGAGGTTTGAAGAAGGTAGGAGATCATTCTCCTGGTAAGATCGTGGGGAGTAAGGCCAAGGGAAAGACGCGAGACGCTGCTAAAGGCGGATCAGATGGATCGCTGGAAAGTCAGTGGGAGGCAAAGCCTCGAAACTTGGATTCCAAAATGGCGCAGCAAGCTGCTAGGGGCGGAAATGGTTCGTCTAAGTCTGCTGGAGTTAAAGTGGAGGACTCTCCTCCAAAGGAGAAGATGGATCTGAGATGGATCCGACGGCGAATGTGGTGTTTAATCTGACATTCTTGGAGCTGGATTCGTCAATGGAGGTTGAGGTGAATGCTAGTATGATGGATCTCGGAGAAAGAACATAATCGATGATTGATATGGAGCCAGCTTCGGCTGGACTGGATGAGCTGATGGAGGTAAGATCTATCCTGAATGATGTGAATTATGATGTAATGGACAAATCTGGGCTGGAAGGCAATGGTCTGGCACTGGAGGTTGGAATGGCGGCCGTGAACACAGGTGGTGGAATTGGGGCAGAGTCTAGCTCCTCTGGAGCAGATAACTCTCTAATCGGCACTTCAAGTGCTTGTGGAAATGCTGATGCTGAAGGTGTTGTGGAAGGTTCGGAGAACCTTGAAAGGAAAATGGAGAGTAGAGGTCCTTTGTTCACTGTAAGTGCCGGAAATGCTTGGAGGAAGCCGGAACATATTCCGATCATCCACCCTGAGAAAATCTGTGCTATCTCGGCTGACGGGATTTCTGTAGATCTTGATCTGGAGAGTGTGAAGGCTAATTTGATGATGCTCGACGGAGCAATTATCGGGAAGATTTTTGGGAAACGATCTTCTTACTTCATGCTGAAGTCGGAGATCCAAAGGCAGTGGGAGAGATTTGGTGATTTCCGGCTTACTACATTGGGATCTGATTGCTTCGTTTGTACTTTTGCTTCAATTGAAGCCAGGGATGTTGTCCTGTGTGGAGGACCCTGGTTTATTGGCGGAAACATTATGGGGTTGGATAGGTGGACGCAGAATTTTTCTCCGGCATCTATGGAGGGTCTCTCATCCCCTGTGTGGATACGGCCACCTAATCTGCCATTACAATTCTAGGATGCAAGTAACATATCCCGAATTGCTTCGAGGATCGGGCTTCGTCTCTGGATTGATGCACATACGGGCAATTGGGGGAGGCGTGAATATGCACGAGTTTGCGTTCGGATGAACCTGGCCAATAAACTACATGCAGGAGTTTGGGTGAATGGATTGCATGAAAGGTTTTATCAGAAGGCATTGGTCATCTTTGTTATGGTTGTGGTAAGGTGGGGCATTGCAAGGAGCTATGCCCATCAAAAACTACTGGACAAGGGGATGCTGCTACGAAAAAGCAGGGAGTACAAACGAAAATTGCAGGAGTGGGAGAGGGCAGCTCTGCTCAAGGTCAGCACAACATTGGTAGATCAGTAGTGGAGAATACAAACAAGGTTGGACCTTTATTTGTTAAAACCGAAGGGGGAAATCAGAAGCAAATTACTGAACGTGGAGATAAAGGTAAAGAGGTGGAGACACAGTAGGAGAAAGGTCTTGATACCATAGGGGGAACGGTGATGTTCAAGAAGAAGGTGATTTGGTTGGGCCGTGGATTCAAGTTCCTCCACGCCGGCGTAGGAGTGCCCGTCCTCAAAGCAGGCCTCAAGAAAGTAATGGAAATAAGCATATGGTTAGTATCCCTCCTCAAGTGGATCTGAGTAAGATTAAGTAACCCCAAAGAAATATAAAGCCAACCCGGAAGCAAATTAAAATTGGCTTTAAGAAGCCACTGCCTTTTACGGCAGGGATAAAACCTATTATGCATAAGCATAACAAATATAAGATTGAAAAGGAGTTAAGCCAATTGGGACCAATTGTGGAGCTCCCACGGGAGCTCCCACGGAATAGGAAGGAGGAGGTCATTGAAGACACTGGCGGTGGGGACGCCTCCCCTTTCATTTATTAATGTCTTCTATGTTGATCTCGAATTTCAGGGGTGCCCGTAAGAAGATGATGGGATACTACCTGCGAAGCCTCATTGGCAGCAATGAAGTCTATTTTGTTGGGTTAATTGAAACCATGATTAAAGATATCAGCAGAATTGAGGTTAATAGACTTATTGGCACTAATTGGGACTTCTTCCATTTCCCTGCTATGGGTAAATCGGGAGGTCTGTTTGTGTTGTCGAGAAGGGACAAATCATAGTTTGTTGTTGATATGTCTATGGATCAGGCCATAATTGGCAGTTTGATTTTACCCAATCAACAAAAGTGGATTGTGGCTATTGTTTATGCTAATAAAAATGACCACACTCGTCGGGTACTAGCCCTATGATCAGTTCTGATCTTCCCGTGATTGTGGGAGGAGATTTAACTGTTGCTTGAACCAAAGAGAGAAGGGGGGAAGAAGATTTAGCTAATTAGTTGGAGCTCAGGAAATGGCTGATTTCTTAGTGGACAATGATTTGTACGATTTGGGCTTTGTGGGACCAAGATATACTTGGTCGAATAACAAGAGTGGCAATAGCAAGATCTGGGTTCGTGTGGCTCCTCTGGTCACAGTTAAGCACCTCATTTATCTGACTTCGGACCACTGTCTTTTGATGCTGAATCTCATTCCGGCTTCACCGAGACCTGGGAATAGATGGCTGAGATTTAAAGACATCTGATGATGTACCCGATTACCTGGAAGCTTGTATGGAAGAATTGGACAAAGCATGATTATGGTCAACCTAATAAAGTGCTGAACTGAAAATGCTCTAGAACACTTAAAGCTCTATTTTTCTGGAGCCGAAATAAAGTTAAAGATCTTGGGGAGCTGAAGCTCTCGCTGGAAAGACGTATTCAGGAGCTTCAAATTCTAGAGAGCTCTGGGGAGGGATTGGATAAGGAGCAGGATGAGGAGTTACGCCGGAAGGCTTCTAAGTTGAATTCTACTTTGGCTCGTCTGGCCACATGGTGGAGGCAGCGAGCGAAGATTAAATGGATTGAGGAAGGGGACGCTAACTCTCACTTCTTCCATTCATCGGCTTCTGGTCGAAGAAGAGGAAACTGAATTGTTGAAGTCCAAAGTTCTGATGGAAACAACATCACTGACCCAATCCTCATCCAGGAAGAGGTTTGGAACTTCTTTATGATGAATGGCGAGAAAGGCAAGTTATTTTGGATAATTGGCTAGAGTTTGAGAGCCATGACAGGGTCCCGGAACAACTGAGTACCAGCATGGAGGAGGAGATAACTGAACAGGAGGTCCAGCAAGCTGTTTTCAGTTTAGGGAATAACCGTTCTCCGAGTATTGACGGTATCAATTCTTCCTTTTTAAAGTTTTATTGGAACATCATTAAAGATGATGTTACCCATGTTATTCTTCATTTCTTTGAGACTAACTCTATGTGTGAAAGCTGGAAAGAGACTATAGTGGTCCTTATTCCAAAGATTGCTAATGCTAATGTGCCTTATAAGTTTAGGCCGATTCTCCTATGCCAGTCCTTTTATAAGATTGTGGCTAAGGTGTTGATTAACCACCTTAAACCTGTGTTGAGCAGTATTATCAGTAAGGAGCAAGGGGAGTTTGTTCCGGGAAGGTCAATATCTAGCCACGGGATGTTGGCTCAGGAAATGATGTACAAATTTAAATGTTCAACTCTAAAGTCAAGATTGATGGCTTTGAAGGTTGACAGGGAACAAGCCTACGACTGTATGGCATGCAAGACTTTAGAAGAAGTCATGAAGTTGATGGGATTCAAGGGAACAGTTTATTCAGTGGGTGATGCAGTGTGTTTCTCGGCCTAGTTTTACCATTCTTCTTAATGGGAGTCGAACCCGATGGATCAAAGTGGTCTACGACAAGGGTGTCTACTGTCACCGTATCTTTTTATCTTATGTTCTGAATTATCCAAAGCCTTCCGATAGCGGGGCGGTCAATTGGGGATCCATATTGTTAAAGACACTGATATCATATCGCATCTTCTATATGTGGATGATATTCTAGTCTTTGTGGAAGCTAGACGTGTTAATGCTATTCGCATTATGGGGTTGCTTGATGATTATTATGGATGGACGGGTTAGAGGATTAATTGTGCAAAATATGTTGTTCTCTTTAGTAAGAAATGTCCTAACTGGAAAAAGAGGATGATTGCTAAGTTGATGAAATACAGAAGAGTGAACTCTCTGGAATATCTCAGACTTCCTTTGGTCATGAGGAAGCTTGCTGTTGCAGATTTTGCTAAGGTGATGCAAGCTGCTCAAGAGAAGATGAATGTTTGGGGGAAGAAACAGCTGTCGTTGGCGGGAAGAGCTTTATTGATTAATACTTCATTATTATCTATCCCAATGTATTTAATGACTCATTCAGTCATTCCTAATGGAGTTCTACACTTTATTGAGAGGTTGGGGAGGCAGTTTCTTTGGCAGAAGGACCCCAATAGCAGAGGCATGCATTATGTGGGGTGGCAGGAACTGTGCAAACCAAAGAATCAAGGAGGTCTTGGGTTCCATGATCTTCTCGTCTGGAAAGGTGCTCTCCGTGCTCGGGTTGTATGGGATATGCTCCGGCATCCTGAGTCTTTCTTATACAAAATTCTGTTGGCTAAATATGGTATGAAGCTCTGGGATAACAACCAGGGGAAGAACTTTTCAGCTACTTGGAAGATTATCCAGGATGGGGCGTATGCTCTCTGGCCTATCTTGAGATGGAACATTGGCAATGGAATTCATATTGATGTGCTCCAGGATGTTTGGATTTTGGATCGCAATGTTGCAAAGTGGCCTATGTTTGTGAATGTGGAGGAGGTGGAAAATACTAAGGTGTGTGATTTCCTGAATACCTCATTACAGTGGAATGAGGAGATGATTAAGCGGTGCTTTGGAGATATTATAGCCGAACGCATATTGGCAATTGAAGTTAGTAATGATACCCAAGTTGATAGTCCCGAGCTTATTCACAATAGAAGGGATATGACTGTTGCTGCAATGGCTTATAGGGCCAACTTCGGTGTGGAGGAGACCAACTTTTGCTGGCTCTATAATCTTAAGCTACATCCTCGGGAGAGGTTCTTCTGGTGGAGATTTGTTAAGGATGCGGTTCCAATTGCCCATTGGCTTTTCCGCAGGAGATTGGGTAAGAACTCACTATGTCCTTGGGGTTGTGATGTGGAAGAAAATCTTGATCAATGAACTACTCAATGTGCAAAATTGAAGCAGGTGATAGTGGTGTTGGCCAAATGGGGCTTTGTGCTGCCCAGTGTGAATTCTTTCCCAGAACGGCTTAAGGTACTTTCTATATGTGTTGAGAAGACTCCTATCTTGGGCTGTAATTATTATTATATGGTGTATCAGGTGTGGCGAGCCAGAAATGATATGAAGCACCAGTGTATGTGTAGATCTCCGGCCGTGATTGCTGCTGCGGTGCTTTCTCTATTACTGAAGCCGTTCAAATGGCCAATACTGGAGCAATGGTCAATGCTGAAGCCGTTCAAATGGCCAATACTGAAGCCGTTCAAGTGGATGGAGGGGCAAATCTGATGATGGCCTGCAGAATGCTGCAAGGAGCCGGGAGGATATTGTGGATAGGGAAGAAATGCTATGTCCGGGTGAAGTATCTTCAACCGGGGAGATGGGGGATCGTCTGGTTGCCTCAAAGGTTCTAATGGAGGTCGACATGAATGCTCGGAGTGCCAACCAGGTGGAGAAGGTGCAGGCTCCTGAGGATGAGTCGGGAAAGATGGAAATTATGGGGGATAGGGAGGTGAAGGACTTCTTGCAAGACATCATGGCTAATGTGGGAACATCGGCACTGAGATCGGGTGCGGTGTTAGATACTGACGTCGACATGGCGGTTGAGGACATTCAGACGGCTCCGTCAGCAATGGGAGGGTCTGGAACTATGTCTCTTGTGCCTACGGTGGGGGTTAGCTCGAGGATGGTCAACCCCATTGTTGTGCATGACGAACAGCCCCGTTTGGCTGGTAACATGACGAGTGGCTTGGGAGCGGAGATGGCCTATTTGCTTCGGGAAGTTGGTGGAAGTGCTATGGCGGTTGATTGGGCTGATCATCGATTGGATAGAAACAGAAACGAGTTTGAGGAAGTGTTGGGGAAGCCGGTTGACATGGATATGGAATGCAGGGGTATGAAGGTGGGAGAAGTGGGAAGTGATTCCTCCAACTCCCAGAGCTGCGCACAACCTGTTTGCGACAATGCCCCTTCCCGCTTGAAGGCCTCTTTGTAGGGGAGATCTAGACCCGGACCAACAGTTTCTGAGGATGTGGGGGGCAGAGGGACCAAGAATGCTTGGAAAAAATCCGCACCAATTGCACTAAATCTGGTAGAGGATGTTCAATGTTTCCTCTTGGAGGATGGATTGGTGAAGCTTGATCTTTCCAAAGCCAGGGGAAATGTCCAGAAACTCCGCAGAGCACTGGTTGGCTGCCTTTTAGGTCGACGCGTTCCTTTCTGGGTTGTCCAGAATGAACTTCAACGAAAATGGGGGCATTTTGGATTAACTCAGATAACTCCTCTAGGGGCTGATTGCTTCCTATGTTGGTTCGAAGATGTGGAGGCTAGAGACAACGTTTTAATTGGAGGACCATGGTATGTGGCAGGGCAGATCATAGGGGTGGAGCAGTGGTCCGAGGGGCTCTCCCACAATTCTGAGAGAAAGTTCACATCGCCGGTTTGGATTAGGCTCCCAAACCTACCACTAGAATATTGGGATGAGGCAGACTTGGCACGGTTGGCTGCCGGAATGGGGGAACCTTTGTTTATGGATGAGAAAACAAAACACTGGAACAGATGTGCTTTTGCGCGGATTTGAGTTCGGTTGGATCTATCCAAGAGACTTCCAAAAGGAGTATGGGCACAAGGCTTGAAGGGGAAGTTCTTCCAACCAATTGAGTATGAGGGGATTCCAGTGATCTGTTTGGAATGTGGAAAGGTTGGTCATAAGGCTGAGGGTTGTGGAAGGAAACCTGTTCAACACAGAAATTCCTACTAGATTGAGCCGTCTGAGTCCAGAAATGAGTGGACATGGGAAGGAAGTTTTACAAAATAGTGATGGAATGTTGAGACCGAGCGTTGGTGCTAGTTCCTCGAGAGTGGACCCTAAGAGCATAAATAGGGATTGTGGAGAATGGACCATTGTGACGAGGAAGAGGAGACCTCGCCCGAACAATTATGGAACCACCTCCAGGAATTCTGCTTGGGGGATTGTGAACCCTACTACCAATGCGGCCAATAAGGCTGTTGGGAGGGTGACTGCCATGGACACAATGTTAGTGGAGCCCCATGCTGAGGAGGAAATTGTGGGGGAAGGAAGTTCGGAGGGTCTAGCAGAACAGGACTTGGGGGACTCCAATGCCCAGAGTTGCACCACTGCGGTGGGGTCAGAGGATTTGAGGATGAAGACTATTGAGAGTGAGATGTTAAAGGCTAGGGAACCCACAGTTGGGTGCAGGGAGTTCCCAGAAGTTTTGAGACCCACTGTTGAGATTGAGGAGACTCGGCCTGTTATGCAGGTGATGGATGTGAAAGCAGTGGGAGATACGCAATGTTTGAAACCGGAAGGAGAAATCAGAGCAGCCAACAGCGTGAGACGGTCCTCTTTGAGGGTCAGTAGAAGGGGTCAGTTCACTAGGGAGGTCACCTCCCTTGATTCCCTTGAACGACCGGTTGTGCCCAGGGTCTTGAGGTTCTCTGATTCAAAAACTAAAGCGTGGAAACCTTATAACACTCTAAGCCGAAAGGCTAGGATGAGTGCTTCTAAGGTGGGCAGGGAGACGGCTGGGGACAGAGACATCGGGAAGCTTCCGGATGGGAATTCTCCCGTCGAGCAATTACCCAATAGCACTGAGATTTCGGATGAGTTGAAAGGCAAGGATGCCATCACTGATAGTTACTCTATTTTCCAAGGAGTCTGCGGAGGACTTGGAACAACTTTGCGGCGGGGACGCTTCTCCTTTGGTGAACCATGCTTAGCATCCTTTGCTGGAATTGTCATGGTGCGCGTAAGAAAGAAACGGGGTTCTACTTACGCCACCTTATTGGAACCAACAATGCTTGCTTTGTCGGTCTTATGGAGACCAAATTAGATTCTATTGATCGGAATGGCATAGATAGATTGGCTGGTAGAGATTGGGACTTTGATTACCAGCCTTCCAATGGTAGAGCTGGCGGTATTTTGATAGTTTGGAAGAGTAGTATGTTGTCATTTCAGGTCTCCTACAGAGCGAATCAGTTTGTAGTTGGGAGACTCACGACGACGAGCGGAATTGATTGGGACGCGGCGGTTGTGTATGCCCACAAGGATACATGTATCAGACGCACGATGTGGGAAGATATTTCTAGGATCCATAACCGGTCCTCTCCCTTGTAGGTTGGGGGGGACTTCAACTATACTATGGCTTCGAATGAGAAGAAGGGTGGTAGGGCATTTCACATGACCCCGGCCGCCTGTGACATGGCTGATTTCATGACGGCAAATGACCTTATTGACCCGGGGTTTGTTGGGCCTGCTTTCACGTGGACTAACAATAAAGATGCGGGGAGTAAAATTTTCTCCAGATTAGATAGGTTCCTTGTTAGGTCAAATATTATGGATGCGTTCCAAGGGCTGCGGGTCAGGCACCTCTCCAGACTCATTTCTGACCACTGCCCCATTCTTTGTTCGGTCGTTGCTGAGACAAAAATCAGTTACTCCCCGTGGTTTCGGTTTGAGGATGTTTGGGTGAGTTATCCCAAGGCCCGTCAATTGGTGATGGTTAAATGGAATGTTGGGGACCATGGCAGCAAAGCGGCACAGCTCCAGAGGAAATGCAGTAGAACACTGAAGGCTTTGTTTTTCTGGAGCATAAACAAATTTAAGATGCTAAATAGACATAAGGAAGAGCTGGACAGGGAGATCCGGAATCTACAGGAATTGGAGGGAGAACCGGGCGGTCTGAGTGAAGCACAGACGGAGAGGCTGAGATTCATTGTGCAACTGTTCAACAGCACGTTGGCCCGCATTTTGAAGTGGTGGAAACAGAGGGCTAAAGTGCAGTGGATTGAAGAGGGAGACTATAATACACGATTCTTCCATTCTATGGCATCGGCACGGAGAAGATCAAAGAGTATTGAGCTCATCAAGAGGGAGGATGGCAGTGAGACGACGGAGGCAGGGGAGATTGCGGACATCTTTTTTCAATCAGAAATGGAAGGGACAGGCAATCGTAGAGTCGGGGTGGCCGTCTCTTGATGGCCACCAGAGGGCTTTTAATCAGTTTCCCGGGATGCTGGATGGAGATGTATCGGAGGAAGAGATTTTGAAGGCTGTTAATTCGCTGGGACGGAACAAAGCCCCATGGAGGGACGGGATTACTGCTTCCTTCTTCAAAGCTTACTGGGATATTGTTGGAGAGCAGGTGATCCATGCCTGCTTGGAGTTTTTTAATTCTGGCGTCATGGATCCTTCCTGGAAAGAGACGGTGGTTGTTTTAATCCCCAAGGTGACATGCTCTGATCACCCATCCAAATTCAGACCCATTAGTCTTTGCCAGACTATCTACAAGGTGGTGGCAAAGATTCTCGTCAATAGATTGAAGGGGGTGCTTCCGCTAATCATTTCGGAGGAGCAGGCCGCCTTCGTTCCTGGACGCTCTATTACGACACACTGCCTTCTTGGGCAGGAGTTGATCCATAAATTCAAGGTGTCTAAGGCGGCTCGGGGTTTTTTTTCTTTAAAGGTAGACATGGAACAGGCGTACGATAAGATGAGCTGGAGGACTTTGGAGATTGTCTTGGGGCGTTTGGGTATCCCCCCGAGATTTGGAGCGTGGGTCCTTAGCTGTGTAATGGGGCCGAAATTCTTTATTCTCACCAATGGGAAATTCTCGAATGTAATTAATGCTGAATGTGGATTTCGGCAAGGGTGCCCGCTGTCACCCTACCTATTTATTCTCTGCTCCGAATTACTGTCTGCGCACTTCAAGCATAATTTCGGGGAGATGGGAGTTCCGATCAGCTTGGGAGGACCTCCTGTCTCCCACCTCCTTTATGCTGACGACATTCTCTTTTTTGCAGGGGCATCCTTGGTGAATGCTAGGAAAGTTACATCCATCCTCACCGATTATTGCTCTTGGACGGGACAACAAGTCAACCGGACAAAGTCAGCAGTTTTGTTCAGCAAACGGACACCGTCAACAATGAAGGCTCGGCTGACTAAACTTCTGGGCTGCTGTAGAGTTGATGAATTTGAGTACCTGGGAATTAAATTTGCTATGAGACGGCTTACTAGACTAGATTTTTCCCCGCTTGTCCAAAGAGCGCGGGCTCATACGTTAGGTTGGGGATCCGACATCTCTCAATGGCTGGTCAGGTGACGTTGATTAATTCGGTTTTGTTGCATCCTCGGTGTATCTGATGACCCATACTGTTATACCTAAAGCGGTTCTCCACGAGATTGAGAAGATGTACCGAAGCTTCCTTTGGGATAAGGACTCTGAACATTGAGGTTTGCATTATGTCTCTTGGAATGAGGTGGCGCGCCCAACACGTTATGGAAGTCTGGGATTCCATGCCAGCACTAAATGGATTGGGGCACTCCGGGCACGTGTTGCTTGGCATGTCATTGGGAGCCCGACGGGGTTGCTCCAAAAATGCCTTAGCCACAAATATGGGGATGAGTTGGAAGTTTATGGCTCCCCGCGGAGTCATTCGAACTGTTGGAAGGTGATATGAGATGGCGCCAAGTGTTTGAGAAGCTCGGTTCGCTGGAGAATTGGAGACGATCAGAGTATTAGTGTGTTGCAGGATACGTGGTTGTGGGATCGTCCCCTTTCGGAATGACCCACGTTCTGTGATATCACAGCCATTGAAGACCTGTATATTGCCGACTTCCTTCTGGATGACAGGTCATGGGTCAGGCCGAAGCTCCTCACTTGCTTTGGGGAGAGTCTTGTGGATCACATCTGTGGAATACTGATTGAAGATGGGCTGAGCTCGGACTGTATGGAATTGGTTAGGACCCCCCTGGGTTCAACAATCTCGGCCAATGTATACAATAGACTGTTCGAGGAAGAGGATGACCCCGTTTGCACGATCTTGAAACTCGAACTGAGACCGCGTATTCGCCTGTTCTGGTGGAGAGTTTATAAGAACAGGGTTCCTACCAATGGGTGGCTGGTTAGCCGTAAATTCCAGGCTGATCCTCACTGCCCTTTTGGCTGTAATGCGATTGAGGACCTTGATCATATCACTACCGGCTGTAAGAGACTGATTGCGATTTTTGACATCCTGGATGGGTGGGGGTTCTCTATGCCCCGTTTCATGTCCTTTGCAGAGCTGCAAGAGGAGTTGGCATGGTACAGGAACTCCCACGATGACTAGAGGCGGATCTATTGTGGGACGGTTTATAATTGTTGAAGGAACATGAACTCTTATAAGCATGGCAAGGGATGCCTCCCCCCCAAGCAGGTTGCTGCAACGGTTATTGAGGTGCTCAATCTTGATTTTTTCTCTCTTCCCCTGGAGCAACGGGACATCTCTCAATCCTCCGGATTGATTTCATCTTCCTCATGGTGTCCCCCCCTACAGGATGGTTGAAGATTAATTTAGATGGTGCTCTCAGAAGGTCCAATGTCGGTGGGATTGGTATTGTCATTCGGGATGACCGGGGCACCCTTATATCGGCGGCGGGGTGGGAGACCAAGCATTGGGACAGCACTCAGGTTGAGCTCATGGCTTTTCGATACATCAATGAGCTCGTTTGTGACTGGATGTTTGAGGCATATGGGGTTATTATTGAGGGGGACAATGCAAGTGTGGTCCAGTTTATGCAAGAATACAAGGGGAGGGAACGGTGGCATCTCCAAAACAGGAATTACGAGGCACTAGATTGGATCTCACAATTTCGGAAGATTTTGTTTATGCATACTTACAGGCGCTTCAACAGAGCGGCCCATTTTTGTGCTAAAAGAGCCATACAGAGTTCTTTTTTTTTTTGGATTTGGGGATAATTACAAAGAGCTTATTCCTCAAGGTTTTTTTTTGTATCCTTGAGGAGGATAGGTCTTCTCTGTTCAACGGGCCGGTTGGCCCTTAGGTCTTTGTTTTATCTTTTTGTGGTGACTTTGTAACGCCATTTTCTTTTAATGCAAATGCAAAATTTCAGCTCTCTCTCTCCCCTCATGCGGTGTTTCCCGAGAGAAATTTTTTTCTCTCGATTTGGTGCTCTCGCCGGCGGGATTTCATCGCGGATACTCTTGGGTTATGGTGAGGGGTGACCGTGCATCCCACGAGAAGCGATGGGGGGAGTCGCTGATGATGGGAGAAACCTGGCGGCTAGGGCTGTTTCAAGAGATGGAGGGAGGTTGGTTTTGGGATCTGAGATTGGTGCTAACGGAGGGAGTTTTGGTGATAGGAGGTTTTCATTTGGAGGATCTGGCGGTTTAGCATAGATTAGGGCTGAGGGAAGCCATGTGGTCTACATTCGGGCACCTGTCGAAGCTGGTAGAGGTAGTTATGTAGCTTCCAATCAAGTTGCTCGTCAGTATTTGACATCAAGTGAGGAGCTGGATATTGAGCTGAATGTGGATGGTCAGGAAATGGCTTATGGGGATATGTTATTGCAAGATTCATCTGATCTTGATGAGGCCATGGAAATTCTGGATGGAAGTGAAGATGTGGTGTCTCCTTTGAAGGCGACTGCAAGATCTGGAGCTCAGCATATGACGAAGGGGTTTAGTGAGGCTACTATTACAGGATTTAGGGGCGGCATTGCGGCAAGTTGTGCTAGACCTATGTACTTGAAGGGGCTGGAGCATCCGCAATGTGAGATTGTGGCGTTGGGATTGGATGATCGCATTGGTCGAGATTTGAGTATAGCTGAAAGGATAAATTCAGATGGGAATTTGAAGATTCATACTATAGAAATGGAGGTAAGTAGAATTGTTGACAATCCTATATTTGAGAATGAAAATTTATAATTCACTTTTGGTAATGTGGGTCGTGTTCGAAACATGGGTAAGGTTTCGTTGAACCCGTCTGTTAGAACGGAAGTTAATCCTAATTTATAGGATGTTAAGATCAATTTTGGTGTTTCTAGGAATAGTAATGAGGCAGCTGGTTCTACTGAGTCGTTTAGGGGTAAAGATACAGACACTGAATGTTCAGGTTTGCCTATGGATTCTACACGAACACCATCTATTTGTGATATTGCCTCATCAGAGGAGTTTTCCTATAGCAGCCTTTGCGGGAGCTGATGCCTTCCAGGTCTGTTTTGAAGAAAGCTGATGGTAGTATGGCTGCTTCGAATGCTTGGAGAAAGCCTATGCCAGTTAAACAAAGTTTATCCAAGGATGTTGGGAATTTTTTACGGGAGGATGGGCTTGTGAAATTGGATTTGGATAAGGCCATATGTAACATCAAAAAGCTGAACAGGGCTCTTGTGGGAAGCTTGTTGGGTCGACATCTTCAGTTTTGGGTGGTTCAAAATAATCTTCAACGATAATGGGGGCATTTTGGCCTCACCCGAATCACACCTATGGGAGCTGATTGTTTTTTATGTTGGTTTGAAAGTATGGAGGCAGGGAATAATATTTTGATTGGAGGGCCTTGGTACATTGCGGGGCAAATTATTGGTATTGATCAATGGACTACAGGGTTAACAACTAAATCCTTGCGAGGATTTACTTCTCCGGTTTGGATTAGGCTCCCAAACTTACCTTTGGAATACTGGAATGAGGCTAATTTGGCTAGATTAGCTGTGGGTATTGGAGAACCTCTGTTCATGGACGAACTAACGAAATTGTGGGACAGATGTGCTTTTGCAAGAATTTGTGTCAGGTTGGACTTGTCTAAAAGGCTGCCTAAAGGTGTTTGGGCACAGGGATTGAGAGGGAACTTTTTCCAACCAATTGAGTATGAAGGGATACCTTCGATTTGTTTGAGATGTGGGAAAGTTGGACACAAAGCTGATTTATGTAAGGAAGATTGCTGTCAGCCTAAGCAGTAGAATTTCAGGAGTAATGGAGAGCAGATTTCGTTACCTGTGGCTGAATCTGGGCGGGGTGTGAACTCGGTTAAGGTTGATTCTGCTGTTTCCAGTTTGTCAAAAGGCAAGGTAAAGATGGAAGGTTGCTTGTCTCAGGATAATTCAACGATTGTTGATAATGATTTTGGGGAGTGGACTACTGTCACCAAGAGAAGGCAATCTATTAATGCTTGAGCTGGGGTTAAACCTCAAATATTAATAGCAAG